GCCTTGGTAGTGCCGCTCTCGTAGCCGTAGGACCATTGCGGACTGCGGTGATTGTTTAGAACGTATAAGATGGCGTTCTACAACGGCATCAGTTTAGAATACCAGAACAACAAAAATAAGAGGATCGTCAGTTGCAGATCAAGAATGGGACGTGGCTAAATCTATCGATCGGAACTCTCATAGTTGATATGTAGTACCATATACTCCACTCACCTCTGGAAACTGCTGCTGGTAACGATCGTCCGCCTTCTCGGCACGCACCCAATGATGTTTGTCCGCTGTGGTGTCTATCGAAAGCTGCAGTGCACTGACAGGTAGTGCCACGATGGAGTCTGGTGGCATTGCAGTGGCAACGTCACCCGCACCAGCCACCGCCACTGGAGAAGCAGCTTCGAAGCGAGCGCACACGACGACGTCGTCGCTCGTATCGGCTGCAGCGGCTTGATCAGCGGAGACGAAGGTGACGAGAACGTGCAGTGAGCAGCCGCAGTAGCTGCGCGGGACATGCTCCGGGCAGCAGTGCGGAAAGCAGCGTAGCAGCTAGATATAGCAGACAAATGATGCCGTTAAACGATCCTACCCACTAATCAACACAGAAGTGGACTGTACCTTGAAATTGCGTTTTGTGTTGCTTCTGCAAGATGAAAGCACAGATTTTGTACGAGTTTATGATAAAGTGTTTGTCAGATTAAATTTGAGGTAGGGCAAAGAGGGGAGACAGAGAGAGATAGATGCCGCCGACATACCTGGCGTACGATTCGCTGAAGAGCTCGTGTTGGTCGATCCGGCAACCCCGACGAAGAAAGCGGCAGCTCACTGCATGCAGGTGGGTCGTCATGTTGGTGCGTCTGGGACGCGGCCTTCCGGGAATGGGTCGAAGTGTCCAAGTCGGCCTGTAAAAATAGCCTACCAGAATTTCAATTTTGAGATACTCAAATATCAGAGCAGTTGACAACTTAAATTCACTCAACCTACTCTACCTGATAGGATCCGTGGACGATCTAGTGTCTGATTAAAAATATATTGGAGGACTGTTTTAAGCCTTCAACGCCGCAATTATGCATTTTGGGGTGTTTTGTGGATCGACAAACCGGCAAGCACAAATTACGAATTGATATCTTCAAAGTCGACAAACCACCCGAGGCAAATCCATGTTCAACATATTTCAGTATTTTGATCAATACACAAGCGCCTTAGATAGTTTGTGGATTAAAAAAAAACAGACTAATATAAAAATCACACTCCGCCTATCGTATGGATACTTCACCCAGAAAAGATTAGTTCAAGTCTACTATATGCATAACATGCATTTTCTGTGCTCCATCATTTCATGTTGGACGTTTGGTGTACAGGACCCTCTCCACCACGGTTTATCGATCCACAAAACACCCCAAAATGCATAATTGCGGCGTTGAAGGCTTAAAACAGTCCTCCAATATATTTTTAATCAGACACTAGATCGTCCACGGATCCTATCAGGTAGAGTAGGTTGAGTGAATTTAAGTTGTCAACTGCTCTGATATTTGAGTATCTCAAAATTGAAATTCTGGTAGGCTATTTTTACAGGCCGACTTGGACACTTCGACCCATTCCCGGAAGGCCGCGTCCCAGACGCACCAACATGACGACCCACCTGCATGCAGTGAGCTGCCGCTTTCTTCGTCGGGGTTGCCGGATCGACCAACACGAGCTCTTCAGCGAATCGTACGCCAGGTATGTCGGCGGCATCTATCTCTCTCTGTCTCCCCTCTTTGCCCTACCTCAAATTTAATCTGACAAACACTTTATCATAAACTCGTACAAAATCTGTGCTTTCATCTTGCAGAAGCAACACAAAACGCAATTTCAAGGTACAGTCCACTTCTGTGTTGATTAGTGGGTAGGATCGTTTAACGGCATCATTTGTCTGCTATATCTAGCTGCTACGCTGCTTTCCGCACTGCTGCCCGGAGCATGTCCCGCGCAGCTACTGCGGCTGCTCACTGCACGTTCTCGTCACCTTCGTCTCCGCTGATCAAGCCGCTGCAGCCGATACGAGCGACGACGTCGTCGTGTGCGCTCGCTTCGAAGCTGCTTCTCCAGTGGCGGTGGCTGGTGCGGGTGACGTTGCCACTGCAATGCCACCAGACTCCATCGTGGCACTACCTGTCAGTGCACTGCAGCTTTCGATAGACACCACAGCGGACAAACATCATTGGGTGCGTGCCGAGAAGGCGGACGATCGTTACCAGCAGCAGTTTCCAGAGGTGAGTGGAGTATATGGTACTACATATCAACTATGAGAGTTCCGATCGATAGATTTAGCCACGTCCCATTCTTGATCTGCAACTGACGATCCTCTTATTTTTGTTGTTCTGGTATTCTAAACTGATGCCGTTGTAGAACGCCATCTTATACGTTCTAAACAATCACCGCAGTCCGCAATGGTCCTACGGCTACGAGAGCGGCACTACCAAGGC